TAGACATCGAGGACTGAGATCATCCTAAATGTTCAAATGCTGAAAATGAGCCTTATAGTGGTTAAATATCTTGTCCAGGATCACTGTGAACAGGAGAAAGAGGGATTTAGGTTTCCAACCCAAACTGTTTTAGTTTCTATTAATCAGATTGTAAATGCCTGATATACCGTGAGCTTTTTGTTTTATTTCTGTTTTCTTCTATATGTTTCTTGCTAACTCTGAATCATTCTCTGCTTAATAAGAGGTAGAACATTATAAAATCAGAATTCTTTTCAAAGTTATCTTTATGCTTTCTGAGAGTAAATTCTTTAGGATTATTGTTACTGTTGCCATCATTTTTATAAATGTTCTACTTAAGCTTAATTTAGGAAAGCAATTATACATCAAATGCTCGGGCACTTCAGATATATAGTTGGGACAGAATTTAGAAAACATATAACACCAAGAAAAGCAGAGTAAATAAATGAATTTTGGAATTTAAAATATATTTGCTTGGCCTGATGTCTATTATGCTATCCTGTCTCCCCACTGCTCCTTTAAATCTCCATGTGTTCTGCTTTTCACCTTCTGGCAAAGAAGCACATCTTGGCCGAGGAGATAGCTCAGTAGAAAAAGCACTTGCCTGGCAAGCGCAGGGTCCTGAGTTCAATCGCTGGTACAAAAAAAAAAAAAAAAAAAAAGCACATCTTTATTCAGTGCTCATTGTATTTTTGTTTTTGTTTTGTCCTATATTGCCTTTCCACAGGTAAACCTCTGCTCCAAAGCTTTTGCATGTGGTACTACTCATTGAGTCCTGGATCTAGAACACAAAGGGAGGACAAAATTTGCAAGTCAGCCTAATGCTTTTACATATACTAAGCACCAGAAGTTTGACTGCAACATTCAGTTTATCCTACTCATTTTTAAATATTTTGGGAAAAGTTTCTCAAGAAACTCAACTTTTTAAAGGAAATTGAAGAAATACAGAGGCAGCTATATCTGATCTCCACTAGTTAGTTTTCTGTGGCATAGCAAATTTTTCATCTCTACTCTTTAGATAATACTGTTCTTCTTCTTTCTTATGAGCATCCATCATTTAACCTAAAACTTTTTTTAAAATCCTGGAAATTCATTCCTGGAAACTATAACTCATTTAAAGCCATAAGTACAGAGGGTACTAATTTAGTTATGTATTGCCTGCCCCTGTTCAAATCTTGGTTCTTTCATCATCATCAACATCATCATCAACATCATCATCATCATCATCATCATCATCTCTCCAACCACTGCCCTCTGTGTATTAATATAAATAACCTGCTTTCAATAATACATTTATAAAGTGAGCTAGCACCATTTAATTCACTTCTTTCTTGAACCAATCTGTAGAGATATGTGCAATTATTTATATAATACCATCATTTAGAACAGAATGCATGAGATAAGTTTATAAATAAAATACTCTTACAGAATTTAATTAAACTAAATTAATCCAAAATTCTTTCTGGAATAGCAGGTTCACAGTTGGCATGTTATTCACTATTTGTCATCCATTTGGTTTCATTAAAATCTATTTAGATTTAGCACTTTGTGAAAGACAGGAACATTTGTGCCCTTAAAACACCAAAGAAAAACAAACACCAGTTGTCTGGGAAAACTACAATAACAAAAAGAAATGCTTATTTAGCTTGACCCTTATTATCTATGTTGAGCTATCCTAATTTCCCATCAGTTATGTCTATGTATAGTTTGTCTTTTTTTCCCCCAAAAGCAACTTTTTTAGTTGTATAAGTACCCTAATGTCCTTCCACTTTCCCATTTTCTTGCTCAAGTATATATTTTATGGTTGAGGTTAAATTCTTAGGAATGGGGGATTTTTATTGAAAATAGTGACAAAATTTAATTTAAGCAAGAAGAAAGTAAGGGTAGAGTGACTGGCACTTCTTTAATGTAGAAAAATTTAAAGCCTGAATGAATAATTTCCTAATGAATCCTGTTAGATATTCCCTGGAGTCAATATACAAAGATGTTTTAGAAATCACAAGAAATTTAAGAGGTTTATATGACAAGAGAGTTAAGGAAGGAACAATATTACATCCCAAAGTTTAACTTTTCCTATGACAAGTTTCCAGTTCAAGTACTTTATTGAGCAAAGGATTTGTTCCTTCAGTTGCTTCTCCAAGTTCTGTACTTTCTAAGACTTGAAGTTGTGAAACCATAGACACAGCATTTGATCATGACAGTGTCACGGAAAGCCAGTCTGAGTTTCTGGTGTCACATAGCTTAGTTCCAGGGAAAACCAGGGGGCACAATTTCTGTATCTCTACATGAGCCGCAAGATTTGGGGTGTTCATGGAAAGATCTCTGCTCCTAAATGTTAAAGTCAACCAGATTTACAAACAAGCTCCTTTGAAGGACTAGTCCAATTAATTATTAGCACTGTCAGAGTAGTGTCAACCAAAATAGTATTTGAAATTAATAAACTATTTGATTAGGCTGATTGATGATTCCTACAGCTGAAACTTTTAATTCATTAGCCATAAAAACTGGTCATTAGTACTTTCCTTTATCAGCAAGCAAAGAATAAACCAAAATTCTAATACAAATTCATTATGATGAATGTGCTCTATACCTAAGCAACTATAATGACTTCTGGTATGCTCATTTAACTGTTGTTACATTGGCAGCAGAAATTTCCTGTTAGGAAATTTTAAAGCGTCCTTTAATTGATATTTACATTCTGACTAGATTCTTTTAACTTTAAGTAGGCTGCATAGAAAATCACTTACATGATCAGTACAATATAGCTGTAATGGCTGTCTTATAGTTCATGTACTTTTCTGGTACCGTCTAATAGTTTCAGGAAGGATTGAGGGCTTTAGGAAAGTTCCACTGTTGTGCTGCAGGTGAAGCTTTCTTCCCACAAAATGAGGAAGAAAAACATGAATTGTTTTTCAAACAGACAGTTCAAGTAATTTTGATTTGTGATGCAAAAATGCTGATCTGTAATGAGGTGACACCTCTATTTTTCATGACAGGAGTCTTTTGTAATTTTAATAGCACATTGGAAGGAATGATGAGAAAGAGAATGCTTTGTGAGCTGACTCAAGACAGCTCTAGAACAATTCTATGTATATTAAGAACTATAGCTACCTGGGCATGATGGCACACACCTGTTATCCCAGTACATGGGAGGCACAAGGGTCACCATGAGTTCAAGCCTAGTCTGGGCTACCTAGAGCCTGTTTTTTTTAAAAAAAATTAAGTATCTGAATTATACCTACCTAGCATTGACTGCCTTCTTGCCACTTCACAATCATTAGCTCATTTAATAGTCATAATAATCTTGAAGGATAGGGCTACCCCCATTTTTCAAGTGATGAAACTAGTTCTCAATAGGTTACTTCCTCAAGGTCAAGCAACTGGTAAATAGCAAAGGCAGCATTTCAACCAATCTGCTAGCATTGAGCTATGGCCAACCACTGGGTTACTAGCCTAAGCATATGCTGATCTACAAAATTCTGTTTGGATTTCTGTCTCCAAGTGAGCCACTTAGGACCTGTCAGGGCCTGCAGGTGAGCCTGTCAGGATGGATGGATGGATAGGTAGGTAGGTAGGTAGGTAGGCAGATAGGTAGATAGATGATAAGTAGATAGATAGGTGGGTAGGTAGATAGACAGACAGATAGTTTAAATAGACAGATATCATCTTCCTTGGCTCTAATATGAATCCAGACAGATGGATAAAAAGTAAGAATGGTGAAAGAATCCAGATAGGGTCCAGACATCTTTCTAGCTACCATATACCAGAATGTATCAAGTTCTACCTAAGTAGGGGTAAAACTGAGAAGTTCAAAGAAAGAGCAAGCTTTCAAAATAAGCAAGTGGAGAACATTGGAAGGAGGTCTGGGCTACTGCACTCCTGGGAATCAAGAAATTCTTCAGGTAGTTATTATTCTGGGGCTGGAGGAGAGATGAAAATGGAAGAACCCAAGAAACAGGCAGGAATGAGAGTAGTGAGAGCAGAGAACAAGGATCAAAGCCTTCTTCTTTGTTCAGGGATATCATGGAGAGAAACTGGGGAAGAGAGGGACTGAGAAATGTGCATAAGTAACTTCCCCGGAATCCTCAGGAGTAGAGAAAGTTTAGGTGAGGAAAACAGTCAGTGGTGCTCATTTTGGATTTGGTTGGAAGCAGGTCTAAGTTCTGAAGAGGCAGAAGCCCTGAGAGAAGAAGAAAGGATAAATATGACCTCTGGGCTTATAGCTGGCTTTATACAGGGCGATATAACTCTTTTCAATGTCCCTAAGCAAAAGCTACTGCAATGGAGAAGAGCCAGAAATATAGGCAAGAGAGAATTCACTATGTATGGTTACAGATGTTCCATTTTCAATTCAGGAGATAAAATAATATGATGATGGATATATCTTGTTTTTCTGTTTTGATTTTGGGTTTTCGACACAGGTTCTCACTATGTAGTTCAGGCTGTCCTTGAATTTGCCATGTATCCAAGTGGGCATTGAGCTCAAGGCAATTCACCTGTGTCAGCCTACTGAGTCCTGGGATTATAGGTGTGCATCACCTATAATCACCTGCCATGGTTATATCTAAAGGAATATCACAGTCTACACTCTATTTCTTTCATCTACCTTACAGTTTTATTTCCACCCAGTCCAAGACTTAAAATGTAGAAGAATCAGTTGAAAATAATTAGCACCATAAGTTAAAATATGGTTAATAATCTTACTTTTCTTTTTTATTTTATGGAAAAAGGGCAAAATAAAATCTCATAACAAAATAATAGGTGCATAACAATGGTATTGCCTTTGGTGACAAATTACTTGATAGAAAATACCATTCTATTAATTTTAAGATGTTATTCCACAGAAGAATAAGTTAATGATTGCTGTCTTTAAATTTCATGTTTCATGCAATTTTCTTTCCTGACTTCCAAGAGATTTTGAATGCATAAAACTTTTCTACTTGTGTTCCTTAATTCTCCATTACTGCTCTTTTCTTTCATAGGAGACCCTGAATGTGATTGATCCTGGCTTAATGGACCTAAATGGGATGAGTGAAGATGCCTTGGAATGGGATGAAACAGATATAAGTAACAACTTAATTAGTTTGAATGAACAACCAAATGACCTCGATCAAGAACCCCAACCCACCATGCCTTCCTTGAAGTGTGAAGAGACAAGTAATGAGGATCCCGGTTATGAGGAGGGGGCAGGAGACCATGGGGCCTCTCAGTATCCCTCACATATCACTGCACCCTCAAGTCCACATATTTACCAAGTGTACAGCCTCCACAACATTGAACTCTGTGAGGACAACCACCTACCTTTTCTGAAAAACAATCCAAACTTTACTAGCATGACACAGCCTAGTGTTTTGACAAAGAGTCTTAGTAAAGACTCTTCATTTTCATCTACCAAATCTTTGCCAGATATTTTAGGAGGTCCCAATTTGGTAAAGCCTTGCCCATGCCACAGTGGAGACACAAGCCAGAATTCTGGCAGTGAGAGTGGAATCGTCAGTGAAGGAGACACTGAAATGACTACCAACTCTGAAATGTGCTTGCTCAGTGTGGTGGATGGGTCCCCACATAACCCTGAAACTGAACATCTGGACTCACAAGTGAGAGATGCAGTTAATGTGTTAAAGCAAAAATTTAAAGATGAGGAAGAATGCGTTAAGCTTCCAAATAGTTCTCAGTCATCCATTTCACCAGTGGGTTGTGTAAATGCAAAAGTTGGAGATTTAAACAGTGTTACCAAACATACCTCTGATTGTTTGGGAGAAGAATTACAAGGAAAACATGGTGTGTTTACATTTTATGATTACTCATACCTCCAAGGCTCAAAACTCAAATTACCAATGATAATGAAACAGTCACAGAGTGAAAAGTCACATGTGGAGGATCCCCTTCTCTGTAGTTTTTATTTTGATAAAAAATCCTGCAAATCTAAACACCAGGCTTCAGAGTTACAAGCAGATGCATCACCCCATGAAAAGGTTTTGGCAAGTGCATCCCATGAAATGGATCACAACTCATATAAGAGTGGCGATATAGAAAAGGCATTCACTGGCATTCAGAATGCCAAACAATTCTCCCTTTTATCTCGTAGTTCTTCTATTGAGTCTCTTTCACCAGGTGGTGATTTATTTGGACTGGGTATCTTTAAAAATGGCAGTGACAGTCTCCAGCGCAGTACTTCTTTAGAAAGTTGGTTGACATCCTATAAAAGCAATGAAGACCTTTTCAGCTGTCACAGCTCTGGAAACATAAGTGTGAGCAGTGGCTCAGTTGGTGAACTGAGTAAAAGAACATTAGATCTTCTAAATCGTTTGGAGAATATCCAGAGTCCCTCAGAGCAAAAGATAAAGCGAAGTGTTTCTGATATCACTCTTCAAAGCAGCTCCCAAAAGATGTCCTATACTGGCCAAATGTCCCTGGACATAGCATCGTCTATCAATGAAGACTCAGCAGCATCTCTCACAGAACTTAGCAGCAGTGATGAGCTCTCTCTTTGCTCAGAGGACATTGTGTTACACAAGAACAAGATCCCAGAATCAAATGCATCTTTTAGGAAGCGCCTTAATCGCTCTGTGGCCGATGAAAGTGATGTCAATGTCAGCATGATTGTTAATGTCTCATGCACCTCGGCTTGCACTGATGATGAAGATGACAGTGACCTTCTCTCTAGCTCTACGCTCACCTTGACTGAAGAAGAGCTGTGCATCAAAGATGAGGACGATGACTCCAGCATTGCAACAGATGATGAGATTTATGAAGAATGTAACCTGATGTCAGGACTGGACTACATAAAGAATGAGTTGCAGACCTGGATTAGGCCAAAACTGTCCTTGACGAGAGATAAGAAACGGTGCAATCTCAGTGAAGAAATAAAAGGCAATGAAGATGTAAGCAGTAGTGAGATGACCAATCCCTCTGATACCCTGAATATTGAGACCCTCCTAAACGACTCCATAAAATGCCTCTCTGAAAATAATGGAAATAGTAAGAATTCACCCCATACCCATGAGTTAGGAACAAAGAGTGAAAACAAGAAAAATATTTCCAAAGTTAATAAAGATCCGCATGTGGCAGATATGGAAAATGGCAATATTGAAAGTATTCCAGAAAGGCCAAAAGAGAAGCTGAGTAGAATTTCAAAGGCATCAGAGCATCTTAGTTCAAGTGGGAAGAAGATTTCAGAAAGTGAGCATTGTAAGTATAAGGAATCTATGGATGTTTCAGATGATTCAAATATTACTGGAAAGGACTTTGGTCCTCCAAATGTTAGGCATCTTCCAAAGGACTGTGCAAATCACCACCCTTTTGAAAACCAGAGGGACAGTTGCACTCCCATTGAGAAGTCTTTCCCAGAACTGGCTTTAGAAAGCAGAGTTAACAACAGACAAGACTGTGATGTAGTGGGATCTAATGATACACCAAGTGCAGATGAAAATTCTGCTGGTCGCTGCCCAGCACTTGACCAAAATGAAACAAAAGAAACGGCTGCTGTCAGTAACAGTGCTTCCTGTTGCAACTGTAAGTCAGATGCTTCCCATCAGAAGCATGCTGAAGATTGTTCTGTCCACGACTTCGTTAAGGAAATTATTGACATGGCCTCAACAGCTCTAAAAAGTAAATCTCAACCTGAAAATGAAGTGGCTGCTCCCACTTCATTAACTCAGATCAAGGAGAAAGTATTAGAACATTCTCACCGTCCCATCCATTTGAGAAAAGGAGACTTTTATTCCTACTTGTCCCTTTCATCTCATGACAGTGATTGTGGGGAGGTCACCAATTACATAGAAGAGAAAAGCAATACTCCATTGCTACCAGACACAATCGACTCTGGCTTAGATGAAAAGGAAGACATTGAATGTTTCTTTGAGGCCTGTGTTGAGGATGACCCTAATGCCGAGGAGCCCTGTTTCTCTAGTGCTCCTCTGGAAGAATCTGCAGTCACTGAGGAAGCTGAAATGCCACCCCAAGCAGCGCCAAGCTCTTCTAAATTCAGTGACAGTTCTCTATTAGTTGATGATACAGACATGGTGGCTCTTTCAATACCTCCCACTCAGAGAGAAGCTTACATTAGAAAGGTAGTAGATGATGTGCCCCAAACTGTCAGTGGCCATGCAGAAAACTCAGAATTTATCCCTTCAAAGGTGACTTGTGAAAAGGAGCATTCAGGAAAGCCAGGTGAACCAGGAGTGCCAGAGGAACACAATGCTGCTTCAGCCAAATCCAAGGTCCGGGACCTGTCCTTGAAGGCAAATCAGCCAAAAGACAAAACTGCATTGCATCCCAGCCCCAAATCTTTAACCTGTGAAGAAAATCTTCCAGAACCACATAGAAATATGCATAGGTAGAATGTAACTCCTCCCCAAGCATGAAAATCCTCTCATCGAAAGGTACGTATAAGTCCTCTTTAGAAAAACAAAACAAAACAGGAATTTGCCTCAACAAAACTCTCATAGAAGAAAACGTTATCAGTATGACTAGACACAGGCAGATGTTTATCAGTATTTCTTTTACATTTAGGTGTCTGTGAAACAAAAGAGGAAAGAATGTGGAAAATTAACATTTTTCGTGACATTATCTTTTTTTCCATCACTCTTGCAAAGCTAAGTGAAAAATTTGAGGAAGTAATCAAACAATTTAAGGCCTCAAATTCTTCCACTAAGAGAAAAAGCAAGAGGTTGTCCAGATTGCAGTTGCACCCGTTGATCAGAATGCAGGCACCGTAGCAGCACTGCCCACCTCGGTTCCCTGTGTGGAGCTGCCCACTCCCTTCAGTGCCTGGAGATGAGCAGCGATGAGGCTAAAGGCTGCAGCTCCTGATTCGGGCCTTCCTTTTGTGCTCCTGTCTAGTGTAACTACCATCACATTTGCTTCCCCGGTGGAAGGCTGTGCTGTCACAGCTCCTAATCATGGCCATGTCTGAGAATTCAAACAGGAGGGGAAAGTTGATGTTAAAGAAGAGGCTCTTATTTATCCACACACAGATTGAGAACAGGCACAGAAAGCAAATGCAGAAAGAATACATGACAAGTTAATGGCGTCTTGATAAAAACAGAATTTTTGAATTTTGCCTGAAGGTGACAGGCTGATTTCCATCAAATTTTTTTTAAGAAAGTCATTCCCCTCTTCATATTTAATAAGACAGCTATTGATTGATAATTCTGAGATGATGATGTATCTCTAAAAGTGACACAAAGATTCTGTTATTTCTCATTTCTAAGCCCCAGTGATGAATATGCTTTCTCAATCAAGTTTAAAGAAAAAACTTGAGCTTTCAAATAGGAGAGTTATATTTCACCGAAGTGTAAGGTGTCTAATGCCATCTCCACCCCCAACTCCAGAAGCCTAATGCCGTAACCTAAACTCGTGCTATAGGAAATGAATTACAGAGGCAATCTACCCTAATTTGTTAACTTATTCAAATAACAGTTATTATACTTAACTGTGCTAAAGATTATCTTTTTTGTGGCAGATTGTTTATTTTTTGATGAGCCTAATTACTGATTTTCTAAAAGTAATTTACATTTATTACAAATACATCTTTTAAAATGTGACAGATAAATGTTGTTCCCATAATGTATTATGAAAAAAGTTACTATTTAAAAACACATTATTTAATTTGAAAGCTGAATGGCAAACATCATTATTTTTTTTCCTGCAGCACCTGTGCCCTGAGCTCATTAAAATGTGTAATTCTGGGTAGAGCTGTTAGAAATGGGGAGCGAGGGGGGAATCTATATCATATATACATACCCTAAAAATAAATTCAGTATGCAAAATTAAAGAAAGCCATCCCATGTACTAGTAGAACTTGGATAATTTTCTGTGTTTTAGACTCTATTTACAATTGGCTGCATGTGAGAACAAAAGTAGAGAGAGAGAAATGTATTTTCTGTGAGTCGTGTCCACCCTATAATCACATCCTCCATCAGTATGCAGTAAAACTGACCGTTAAGGGAGAGTAACTGCAATTCCGTAAGCTGCTTCAAAACAAGTTCTATTAGAATCGATTGTACTGCCAGCTCTGCCCCCCACCACAGAAAGACTGGTAGAGCCTGGCTGATTTTGTTTTTTGAAAGGGGATAAAAGCTTGGAAGCAACAGCAGTCTGAGCATGACATCATGTGACTGTGACCCTCAAGCCACCAGTCATGCAAGGCTCGAGAGTTCCAGAAGCTCTGGCGCTGGAGAAACCTCTGGGTTGCGGTCTGCCTTTCTGATCCTCTGGAGCTTTGTCTCTCCTTCACAGAGACATAGAATTGAAATCAAATGTAAATGATGTGCTCCTCCATCTTCCTACACACGGGAAGTGAGTGTGCGGCCGCTGCAGTTAAAGCCTCACATTTTGCAAGCAGGAACAGCGTAAATATATCAGCTAGTCAGCAATATTTTGTTGCTCCCCAGTGACGCCTGGCTCTATCTTGGGCAAAGAGAGGAACAATTTTACTTCTTTAGAACTTACACCGCCCCCAAGTGACCTGTCATCAGCCTGGAGTTGTTTAAGCAGCCATATTTAGTGGTCCTATTCAGGAAGTTTTGTGGTTTGTTTGTTTGTTTGTTTGTTTGTTTGTTTGTTTTGTTAAAGCTTCTCACACAGTTCCAGCAGGCCTTTAAGTATCATGTGAATCAAACATCTGAATGCCTGAATTTTTCTCTAGTCATTGGCAGTGGGCTCCTGGATGTAAATACTCAGATACTATTAAAGTACTATCAGCTGGGACAAGTAACAATCTTTTAGCATTTAACTCAAGAATATACACTAAAGTTATTTAGTAAATAGAAGGCTTTATGTCTATAGGAGCTTATTTATGGAGGATAGCTTTCCTGCAAGATTCTAAAAAGAAAAAGAAAAAGCTATTTTGAAAACCACCAGTTGGGATTTTCTTTTTATCAGGACAAAAACAATTTGCCTAATTCAATTTTCTGGGATTTTTTTCTTCTTGAAATAAATTTTTCAGTGAGGAAATGATCGTAATTCCATCCAGAGAAGATATAAAATAGAAGATACAGTCTACAACAGTAAATAATTTTTTTCAAAAAAAATTGAAAAGGTTTTTATTTACTGCATTCTAATTAAAGGCCTGCTGGAACTGTGTGAGAAGCTTTAACATGATCTAACAGTATGCGTTTGCACTGATTTCCAGGCATACTGCTGTGCTTTTCACTATTTTCATTTATGTGTCATGTTTCTATAAAAATAGAGAGGTCAGTTAAAGCAAATCACATCAAAGGCAAGGTAACTGGATAGAGCCAGCTCTTTCTGCCTAATTTGGAGGAAGCACATAATGTGTGTCTGGAGTGCCTCCTAGGACCTGCCTAAGAGATGTACTTTGCACTAATCTTTTTGCTGTATTCTGACAGTTATTTCTTCATAATCCTCATCATAAGCCTCTGATCTTTGATGAATGGTTTAACCCTAAACTTCAGGCTAGATAAATCCTATGGTATAAAAATTTAACTCATCGCATGCAGCCAGTGTATCCTTTTGTTTTGTTTTGTTTTGTTTTGGGTTTGCTTTGAGGGGTGTGTGTGTGTGTGTGTGTGTGTGTGTGTGTGTGCGTGCATGCGCACGCACGCATGTGTGGGTGTATGTAAAGAAAAATAATTTTTTTAAAGCGGGGAGCTTTGTTATATAGAATTCATGTTTTCTTCAGAACTTTTATCTTCACTGTCTTTCTTTCTTTACTAGTCTTTAAGTGTGTGTTGGTAGCCTGTAAATTTAAGGCAATTATTTGTATTTACACATGCTCAAGTATCCTCGCATACAGTTAAAAGAGCTGCTGAGTTTTTCAAACTGAGAAGGCTAAAAGAGCAAACATTTCTCATGGGAATACAAATTCTCATTCTTTTAATAGGGTTGACACTGATATTTCCCAAAAATGATCACTGAGGTTTAAGAAACTACCTTTGCATCTGGGTGTGGTGGCATGTGCCTGTACCCCTAGCTCACTGGAGACTGAGGCAGGAGAATCATTGAGAATTTGAGGCCAATCTGGGCTAGCTAGTGAATTCAAAGCCAGCCTGTACTTCAAAACAAAACCCTGTCTCAAAATAAACAGACAGACAAACAAAAAACAACTACCTTTGGGATTTTGTATTAATTTTGAACTAGAAACTACAGATGCAATCTTATCAAATTTAATTGGGGAATCACTTCAATAAATCAAGATTCTGCTAAATGTGTTTTTTAATTACCCCACAATTCTAAATAACAAGACCTGCCATGGTAAATGACAAAGATGTTATTGGACATAGTCTGTCACTCTGTCTCTGTCTCTGTCTCTGTCTCTGTCTCTGTCTCTGTCTCTCTCTCTCTCTCTCTCTCTCTCTCTCTCTCTCTCTCTGTATGTGTGTGTCTCCAGTCTTTCTCTGACTCTCTGTGTATCTCTCTGTCTCTCTGTGTCTCTGTCTCTGTCTCTGTCTCTGTCTCTGTCTCTGTCTCTGTCTCTGTCTGTTTCACACATAACCAGATTTGTGCCTCCGTCAGTTTTGTCTGCCTGTTTCTAAGTAGACCGCATTGAAAGAATTGATTATCCAGATTGAATTTAAATGCCTGCTTACTTTAGTAAGACCGAATTTGCTTCACCTAAGGATTCCCCACTCAGTGGCCAGATTCTAGATGAGTCGCGTCTTTAGCATTTGAACAATGTACCATGCTTTCTGGAGTTACTGCATTATTTTACTGTACCATGCTTTGGTACATCTGTTCCTGTCTGTCTTTCTCTCTCCATTTCCTGTTAACTTTTCAACCCTGTGCAGCTTCCTGGGGCTCCCAACAATCCCATTTTTGTTAATGTTTCTCTAGATCTTATGTAAGTCACAATATTGTATGAAAATGAGAAAGCAAGACAGAGAGAATGAAAATATTTAGCTGCAGACAGAAAGGAAAACAACCTGCTATCAGACCTCAGAATTTAAACTCAAACAAGCAAAAGCCTGCTTTGAGAGGTAGTGAGAGAAAATGAAGTAATTGTTTCCTGCACTGCCTGAACCTAGGATTCAGGTATCCCTCACATTTGGCCAATTGCTTTTAGCCATTTAGAAATGTGCAGGACACACTGAGTTTGAAACAAACTGGTGCCAGACAACACATGTACAAAAATAATTGAATCAGTTTCCTTTCCACAATGCTTATCTACCTTAAATGAAATACACTATTATTCGAGCCAGAAGTCTCCACTATATCCTTTTATAGGAAAGGGGCTTCAGCCTTTAGGACTACCATTATACTTTACCACTAAATAAGAGTCAAATTGTTTAAGATCACTCATATAGTCATTAAAAGGAGGGTTAAATCTGAGAGCTCAGCTTCTTAGTCTTTGAATCATTGTGAGTGCTTTTGCTAATCACTTGGCACCCGCTGCTTCACATTTTCACATAGATTTGAAGCCATCTTGAGTGTTTAAAACTGAGTCACCCAACTCACCAAGGGCTCGGAGAAAAGTTCAAACTTGATTTTTCTCATTTTATTTGACATTATGTCTCTTGAAAAAGAAACAATATATTTTTCAAGCTCTGATGTAATGTTTTTTGTAAGTAATGTGAACTATGGGCTACTGAAGTAATTATTTATATTTTGAATATCTTCTAATTTGAGAACATCAGGGCCAGCGAGATAGCTCAGCAGACTAAACGCCTGCTTAGGCAAGCTCAAGGACTAGGGTTCAATCCCCTGCATCACACACTGTGCAGGCCCCACCCCCAGGAGCGCTGAGCTGCTACTGAGACTGGGTGTGGTGGCACACACCTGTAATCATAATGCTGGAAAGGCTGAAAGCAAGAGGATCACTACGAGGCCAAGCTTCATAATGAGACCCTATATCAAATACATTAAATAAATAAATAAATAAATAAATAAATAAATAAATAAATAAATGTTAATTTAAGAACATCTGTAGATAGTCCCCAGATAACAGCTTGTGGGAATTTGGTTTTATAAGTGAAAAAGATCTTTCTGAAATGTTGTTTTTTTTCTAATAGATAGTCTGGCTGCAACTCAGGGTTGGCTTCATCCTCCTGCCCTGGGCTGGTCTCCGGTTTCATCACGTCCTCACTGCCTTTTGTCACATTGATGTTCCCAAGATGAATCCTCCTTCGGAATGCAGTTCATCCACAGGAGCCTTGTGATCTGGATGTGTGCGCTGGTTCTCTTTAGGTGATCGTCTTTGAAGTTCAGCAAAGCTGCTTGTCCTCCCGTGGATTCCTGTCCCAAGCTACCTCTACCATCCCTCTCTCTCCAGCGAGACCTTTCTGTTTGCCTCCTCCCCTGCCCATCTCCTCTTTAAAGTTCTGCCATTCACAAAGTTGATGGTCCATTAAACATACCTGTCTGGAATGAGGCCCCTACCAGTATTTGACCAATTCCATGTTTAAATCTGGATTTTTCTATGGTATGTTGCCTATGTTTATTGAAAGAGGCTTACCTGAAAAACTAATATTTGATTTGATTGCAGCACAGACAAGAAACATTGATCCTTTCAAAATTGAGTAACTCTCAAAGCTGCCATTCTGTTTATTTAATTTTCATAATCTATACAGCATTTCGAGAAATAACTATAATAGTGTGGTATATTATAAATTGGTGACATTCTACTATTAAATTATGTACCAGATTTATGTACAATATTTTTGTTTTTTATGCTTCTTGAAGTGGTAATGAAAGAATTTTGTCTTTTTTTTAAGTGTGCCTTGCTGTATTTCTTATACCATTTATTAAAAAGCTGCTTTCATGGTAAAATTATGTTGGTTTGAAAGGAGGAAATAGCAAGGTTAAGATGTGTGAATAATTTCTGTATATATGTATAACCAAGTACAAACATTGATGTATAATGACAGTACAAATGCTTTCATGTTTGTGATGTCTAGTGATGTGGAAAATATAAGCCTTAAATCCATTAGATTGCATGATAATTAAAATTGGCATAATAAAAAGTCTATTGGGGGAAAAGGAAAATTAGTGATCTCTTCTACCTGTGTCTTTACCAAATTGTCACATCTGGTTCTATGAAAAAATGATGTAGCAGCTTCCAAAATACCCGTATTGTATAAGAAGCTTAAAAATAAACTACAGACTAGACATAAACCTTTATTTATAATTTTCAAAAGTTTTCTGGCCTCTAGAGAGATCTTGGAACAGCAAATGACAAAAGGCCAGTTCTCCTAAAATAATTTAAAGTTATACTAGACTTTTTATTTCTACTTTTTAATGGTTTAATGTTAGATTTCAGGATATCTTGTATGTCTTAATTTATTTTAAATAATTATTTTGAACAAGCTTGAGAAAAAGATGGTATGAAAGTACAGAAATTTTACTATTATTTTTATTTAGACCATAGATTTCAGGTATATTTATTTTGTGTAAAAGAAATCAGCAGAGAAATATTACATTTGGTCTTCACTGACTCTTGATAAATACAGCTTTTACCTTATAATTCCTACTAAAGTGCCTGACACACAGTAGGTATTCAATAAAAATTTGCTAAAAGGTATTGAATCAAATAACTTGGATGATATATATCTCATCTTGAGAAACCTCTACTAAAACATGAACATGACTAGAAGAAGATATGATGCAATATAAAATCGCACACAGTGTATAATCAATTTCTATCAGATTTCAAAAAAGGAAAGAGTGTTAGGGATTCATGTGCCACAGAGATGACAATCATTCATTCATCTGCCATCTTTTACCTGCAAAGCACTATGCTAGATTCAGGGAATGCAATGAAGAACAAAGGCCCTACCCTCCAAAGGAGTGCCTACATTAGGGATGAAGTGAGCATGCGTATGGCGCGCAGGCATTGTCTTAGGGATGGAGAAGAGCAAGTAGAGTGGAAAGAAGAGCCAAGAGAGGAACAGCAGAGAGGGACAAGGAAGAAGAATGAGAGTTAGAAGAGAACAGAGCGTTAGACAAAATAGTAGCAGAGCTTTATTACAAGGGTAATAAGAAAAGATCAATCGGGAGGACTTACTGAAGGCTCTTTTGAAAAGCTAAATTGGAACTTTTGTGTGTGGGTGGTTAGGTAGTAAGGAAGCCTTGTAGAGTCTTTGTTTTGCACCTAATTCGATTTGTAATTAGAACTTTATTAGCACTGCACCAAGAACATTTAAACACTGCTTACCTAAAATCCTACCACTTCAATATTGTTTGTATTTTTATGCCCATACTAATCTTTTTCATATATATATTTCTAAATGGGTGACTCATTCTAGATTTTTGAATAGTTAGTAATTTGTTCTGAAGGGGTTGTAGCAGACATCTAGTTGCAGTGTTCCAGAGGCTTTGTAAGAGATTAAGGATAATTGTCTAGTTCAGAAGCAGCTATAGAAAATAAGCTAGGCTTGAGACACTAATAGAGTATACAGAAAGAGTGATCTGGCATGTAGAGAAAAAATAAATCCTAGTCTTTGAACTACCTAAGAGTATTTTGGACTACTGTTTGGACATGGTATTATTTTGCCTTCTAAAATAACATAAATTTTTCTTGGATAGTAACTAATGTCAAGTCTTCACCTATTGGTAAAAAACATTTACAGAATGAATTGACCACAATGTTCTGTTTATCTGTTGAGGTGTTGAAAGTATGCGTTATCTGCTTAATATTAACACCAGGTTTGTAGACTGACTTTTGGGCTTAGTGAACAACACTTTTTCTGGTTGGAGAAGATGGAATAACCTCAATCTCACGTGTCATGTAGATGCTGCTGCCCCAACTACCCTTAGAAACAGTCACAACTCTGCCTGTGACAGTGTTTTGTTACCTGTTGTAACAGGAGAACTGTTCCACTGGTGGGCATGTTGCTATTAGAATGTTATTTCTTAAGCTGCTAAAAGGCTGTAGAGTGTGCCCAATTCCACCTTTACTGATCCTTATTCTGTCTTACAGAGGAACTCAGAGTACTTTTCCTCCCCATGTCTCAGGGCAAACCTGAAGATAATCCAGACCAGTTACTCATTCTCCCCTGCCATTGTACCTCCAACCCCCCTTCCTGTGTCATGATTTTCAGATCCATTTCAACCTGAATGTTAACAGACAGAATCCTACAAACTGAGGAACTGTCATCACAATACATATAAAAAAGTGGACATTTAAGTGCTAAGTTTTCTCTAAAAATATATTCAAGATATATGTTTATTCTATTATTGTAAATTTCAATAAATAAACAAATAAATAAGTCAATAAGAATTCATGACTTCTTTCAGCGGCCCAGTCCAGTGCTAGAGTCATCTTGAATCTTTTCCTCCCATTGAATCCAAACCTAACCTGTATCCTTAGAAAACAGGGTCCATCTTCATTCATTCATATATTCATTTACATATATTCACTCAGTTGTTCAACATTCATTGAATGGTTCCTTGTATGAGGCCCTGTGTTTGGCATCAGATATACAAAGGCAACTAAAATATGGTTTCTATCTCCAAAGGGTTTACAGTTTTTCTCTTGAAAGTGCCTTCCATGTCCTTGAATATTGTGATTATGACTTTTATGCCCATATTTACTTTGTTTTGTATCTAGCTAGTCTACATTTTCAAAAATTTGGTGAGCAAAGGAGTATGCAAAAGATTTGAATCTGACTAATAGAAGTGGTGAAGAGGTTTTAATTACAGAAAAAAGTATTTTTCAGGTTTTTGGTTACTAAATAAATATGCATCTTAGGCAACAAAAGAACAATGTAAATTGAAGAGTTTTAATAACCTGAGTCTGATGATTTTGTTGATTATTTCATCCAGTTTAACTTTTACCCATTCTGTAATTCATGGGTACAAACTTGATGAAAATACCAAAATAGAGTGAATGACCCACCTTTTCTTGTCCAGTTTGCAGACCACAGGATGGTCATGGTTGTGTAGTGTGTGACACTTCATTTGTAAAATTTCTGGATATCTCACCTAAAAACAAGGGCATTTTTCTACAAATCTGCTATGCCATCTTCATACTGAACAATGTAACATTAGTACAATACTATTATCTGGTAATCTGTATTAAAACTTCTCTAAATGCCCAAACAATGTCCTTTTTCATTTATTTTTCTTTTAATCCAGGAACCAAACAAAGACTCTATGATTGCTTAAAATTTTTGTGTTGTCTTAATCCTGAACAATGTCCTATGATTTTATCCTTCCTTTCTGTTGTCTTTCATAACACTGGAAATTCTGTAGCATCCAAACCAGTTTTGCAGAATGATCCCAAATATTGGTAGGTTCTGTTGTTTGCTCATTCAACTCAGTGTAAACTGCTTTTGTGAAGTGTAGCACGTGGGTGACATTTTGTTCAACACTTTCCTGAAGAGAGAATGAGTCACTGACATTCTAGCTATGTCTTGAAGGTCACGACTTCTTGGTACAGCTCATTGGTCTACAGCAAAGGTGAGCAAAGCTGGCTGCATAGGCCAGCTCAAGCACACTGTATGTTTTTGGTTGACCTGTGAGCTAAGAATGATTTTTATCTGAAAAAAATACAAACAAGAGAATATTTCATGATGTGTGAAAATTGTATGAAATTCAATTTTGGTGTCCATAAATAAAGTTTTATTGGAGCACAGCCACATGCATTGTTTATGTATGGCTGATTTTACACTGACCACAGTTACATATTTGAAACAAAAACTACCGTGTATAGTTTAAAACCTATGATATTTTATTAAAATATGACTGCTCGTACCCTCTAACCACTGTTACCTAGTTGAAACAAAAACAACATATGGTTTGGAAAGCCTACAACATTTACTATCTGGACCATTACAGAAAGTTTTCTGATCCCTGATCAATGCTGTCTAAATTCTGATGCAATTTTCTTAGCAGTACATAGATTTCAGTTTTCAGAATCAATGAAACATAGAATTTGCTGTATTTTTCTTTCTATATTTTACTGCATTCTCAATTTCAGCTTCTCACTACATTAGAAAATTGAAATGTGGGTTTTTTGTTGTTGTTGTTTTGTTTCATAAAATAAAAGATTATTCCACATCTGTAGTTTAAGGATTTAAGTTTAGTTCACTGCTTTCACTGATTGATTTAGTCAGTCAATTAGAGACTAATTAATTCAGTCAAAATCATCAGAAAAATTGACAAAACTAAACTAGCCTCAATATACCAATAAATTGGAATTCTTTCACTAAATGTTTTCGAAAGCAACTCAAATAATTAAACTAGGCCATTTCATGTTTTTTTTAATTTATTTTTCACCCCTAACAAAGGTAAAGCCATGATAAGAAGACTATATCTTGTACATCTTCATCTCCTGATTGCTGATCATAAATAAAAATGAATGTACCAAGGAAATAAGTATTCAACACAATCCCTGCTATGTCCGTAGGTGGATATACTTTTATTGAATAAAAGGCTTTCAATAGAAACAATCTTTTTTCATTTTTTCTGTGACTTCACCTGTGATAGTACTGCCCCCTCCCACCACCACATGGCTGGTAAAGGAACACTTAAGGAAGCCTTTTAGCCATTTCTTTAAAACAATCACATATTGTCCATATAGAAATGGCCTTTTAATTCAAGACTTGCCACATACTTACATTTCCAGAGCAAAACATAAAATGATATGTGAAGGTTAGATCAACAATAGTAAGGTTTCTCTGGCAAAGGCACTGTGCTCATTGCTTTCAGACCATGCTGACTCTACATTAATGGGCTCTCGTCAAAGCAGAAATCATGCAGAGCTTATTTGTCCTCAGATTTTGAAGTAAATCAGGGCATAGTGGATCTTTGTTCCTTCCTATTGCAGTGCATGGAACATGGAATGTGTACATATATATGATACTGCCTTAATCTATTAGAGTTGTTATAAGAAAATACGCAAAGATTTATGAACAAAAGAAATGTATTGCATAAAGTTGTTGAGGCTGCGAAGACTAAGATCAAGGCAACAGAAGACTCAGTGTTTGCTGAGGGTCAGTTTTCTGCTTCATGGATGGTGACATCTTCCTGCCTCTTCTAATGCTTGAAGTATTCATGGAAAATCTCCCTTGGACTTCTTTTATATGGGTACTAATCTCATTCCTGAGAGATTCAGCTTAATAACTTAATCACCCCCCAAAGACCCCAAACTCTTAATATTACCAAATTGGGGATTAATTTCATTCAACATGGATTTTAAGGTAGACATATTTAGACATGGCAGACTTTCTTGCCCTCAGCCACAGCATTAAAGAATTTCTGGTGCAAAGAGTGCTCTTTTTTCTCTCAGTCAAAGAAGGTATCTTAATGTAGGTGATGCAGTGGCATTGCTTAAGGGTAACTTTAAAGCCTATCTGACTCATTCTTAAACCAAACATTTATTCCTAAATTCTATACTTCATTATTAGTTACAAATCATAAGATTCCATGTTAAGGAAATCACTGAATCTGAGACTTATAATCTCTTGCTTAGATGAGGTTAATGAAAACCTGAGAAAGGGGTCCCAAAGATCAAGATAATCAACCCTGTGCATCCCCCAGATGGACAGCTCCAGATGATCCATAGTCACAAAGAGCTTGAGATTTCTGGGGAATATGTTCCTCAGAAAACAAGTGAATTCAAAAAACAAATGTAAAGTGTAACAGAACTTGGTCTCATTATACTGGAAAATGACCAATATTAATGATTTATCTCAGGTAACATTCTTCAGTGTTAATCACAGAGTCAAAAGATGTGGAACACCAAGATGCTCCAGGTGTACACAGAGCTTTTTGTGTCTCTACCATGTAAGCTGTCATGTTTATCAATTTGATATACTTCCATTGTTCTCTCTCTCCCTCTTCATTTTATGTGGGAAAATTTGACAAGAATCCCCAGATGTAAATTTGGAATCTTTCCCAAACCATGAAGACATATAACAATGGATTTTATTAATGTTCTACAAATGAATAAATACATTATGTAATAAGAAATGATGCTAAAATTATTTAAGAATTTATTGTATTTCACTTACAATTAACCTGTCATTTAAAAAACCCAACTCTTTAAACAAATGAGACATTGTAGATAGAAAATATTAATCAGCAAAATGTATTCAAGGATTTAAAATGATTGAAGGCATTAGGAACATAAAAATGCTTAAGATCCTCTTTAAATCCCAATATTCCCTAACCACTGGCTTATAAAAAATGCTCTGAGGTTTATAGAATTAGTCAGGTTCTATTAGTTGATCAAGTTACTTATCCTAAGTAACCAATTCAAAACAAACAATTCCTCCTGTGTGAGTGTTTGCTTACTGATCTGTTCATTTGTTTTAAGTTATCCTTTTATATAGAAAGCCAAGGTGCTGAAATTTATCTTACAATTAAAATGATGTGAAAGTCAAATCAGGCCTTTTATTTGTGTTCTCTTACCTGCCAATCTCAAATGACTAATGATGCTCATGGCAAGTTTTGTACAGTAAAACCTCCTTACCTACTTGGGAAACACTCCTATTTTTACATGTTCACCACGTATGAGATTTGCCATATGGAGGGAAATAAGCTACTTTTAAAGCTCATTTGCCATCTAGATAAATAAGAATTTATCTGCAGTATTTACTTACCATCCATATATACATTGCTAAATTTTCTCTCTGTATTTAATTATTGAATAT